CCGAGAAGGAGAGAATGGAATTGACAGGTGATTTTTATAAAATTTTGATCACCATATTCTCAGCTGTTTAAAAGATTAAGGCAATAATAAATATATATAGTAAAAAGTAATATTTAGAGAGTTAAAAAGTAGAAAATGGTAACCTGGTTTCAGAGATTTTGAGCAGATTTATAAAGTGATTGGGACTAAGACAGCTGTTTACAGTCAGCATTAAATGAAAATTCACCCTATTTTCTAAATGCATTCTAAATCTTATTGATCTTATAGTGAATGATACATACTTTCATGTTGATACAAATTTCTGATACATGTTTCATTTTCTTGTTTGTTTTTACCTCAATTTTTTATAAAATTTAAAAAAAAAAATCATATGCTGTTGTGAAACAACAGACTTCTCTTTGGTGTATGCTGGACTTCTTTTCATTAAGACGTTCAATGAATATGGTTCCAAATAAGAGCACCTCTATGAGAAATTACGGACTGGCAAGAAGGAGTAAAGTTAAACAACATAATAAATGCAACCTCATTAAGAAAGAAACCTAAAAGCAAAGCTATAGGAACTCACAGGAAAAAATTATTTGGCTTGTGGTGGTGCCTCATATGTTCCACTAGCTGCTGCATGTTGTTGAATGAACCATCACATCCTATATGAGAGCACAGGAACGTTTTCCCTAAAGAATAAAGGACAGTGCATTAGAGTAGACACCAAATTGCTAATGTGACATTGTTTATGATTGTAAATTAATTGATTAAATGTTTATAAACAGCATTTCATTCATCAAGTGCACTAGTACAAAAAAAAAAACACACGTCTGGTTTGCTATCCTTGTGGGGACTCTCCATAGGCGTAATTGTTTTTCTACTGTACAGACCATATATTCTATTGCCCTACACCTAAACCTACCCCTTACAGGAAACTTTCTGCATTTTTAGATTTTCAATCAACTTCATTCTGTGTGAATTATTAGCTTGCTTACCCGTGGGGACCCCATGAGTCTGTGTGTATTCAGGTTTAAGTCCCCACCAGAATAGAAAAACAGGTACACACACACACACACACACACACAGTCTATATATATATATATATATATATATATATGATATAGTTCAGTAATGCTCATGCACACTTTCAGTGAATGGCACGTAGTAAATTCTAATCTGGGAGCGCAAGAGGAACACGTTCGATTTAAAAGCAATTAGCAGAATAACATGCACTTGATCAATAAACAATAAGAACAATAAGCAATCCATTGAACATTAAACAATAAGCAATCAATTGATCCAAACTAACAGAACATCTCACCAACGTAAACAATCAATCAAGGACGCGCGCAGAGAGCCAGCAGACGCACGAGCTAGCCAAACAAAACATCACATTATCTGCTTAGAATACTTGTGTTCAAGAGCAATTATTTATAGTGCAGTTACTATGGCACTTACTTTGAATGGATTTCTCAAAGTTTTTAAAGCTTCTTTTTAAAACCGAAATTAATTCAAATGAAAGCGGTTATTTAGCTACATTGTATTTCCACCCTGTCTACGTGCGTTACGTTCATCAGTAAATATCGCGAGAACATACGTTCCCGTTTTTCAGTTCGTCTTCTTCTTCTTCTTATGATGTTTAATGGCGGTTGGCAAACCAGCTTTTGGTGCATATTCCGCCACCTACTGGGATGGAGTGTGAGGCGCTGATATCAAGGGAAATGCTAATTCTCAAAACAAAAAAAAAAAAAACCTTCTACCTATATTTTATTATATAAATTTGTTATTTTCAAAAAATGTATAAGAGCTTTATAACCTTTATGAGAACTGTTTAACACACTCTGTAATGTCATAGAATTAATGCCGTCAGATTTTAATTCCTCTTTTAACTGTATTCTTTCCCTTTCATATGCCCTACAGTTAATCAGCAGTCTGTGTGTATTCAGGTTTAAGTCCCCACCAGGATAGAAAAACAGGTACACACACACACACACACACACACACAGGCATGTTGATGTTATACCTGGAAGAGACTGGGCAGTGTTCTTTTGATGGTCCTGAAGATGATTTTTCAGTGCTTCTGGACTATTGTAGGTCCTCTTGCACCCATAAAACGAGCAGGACATTTGACAGCCTAGTGGAACATTGCATACAAGTTCTGTTTATACTGGGCTTTAATATGCATGGACATTGAAACAGCAAATTAAAGCATAGCACTGATAATGACATACTCTCCATGGTGACTGCTTATAGCTGAGGTAGTGGGATGGTTCCTGTTTCAGCCAGACCTGCACTCTAGGATAACAACTGCCCTAATATATATATATATATATCAGTTTCAGCCAGACCTGCACTCTAGGATAACAACTGCCCTAATATATATATATATATATCAGTTTCAGCCAGACCTGCACTCTAGGATAACAACTGCCCTAATATATATATATATATATATTAGGGCAGTTGTTATCCTAGAGTGCAGGTCTGGCTGAAACTGATATATATATATATATATATATATATATGATATAGTTCAGTAATGCTCATGCACACTTTCAGTGAATGGCACGTAGTAAATTCTAATCTGGGAGCGCAAGAGGAACACGTTCGATTTAAAAGCAATTAGCAGAATAACATGCACTTGATCAATAAACAATAAGAACAATAAGCAATCCATTGAACATTAAACAATAAGCAATCAATTGATCCAAACTAACAGAACATCTCACCAACGTAAACAATCAATCAAGGACGCGCGCAGAGAGCCAGCAGACGCACGAGCTAGCCAAACAAAACATCACATTATCTGCTTAGAATACTTGTGTTCAAGAGCAATTATTTATAGTGCAGTTACTATGGCACTTACTTTGAATGGATTTCTCAAAGTTTTTAAAGCTTCTTTTTAAAACCGAAATTAATTCAAATGAAAGCGGTTATTTAGCTACATTGTATTTCCACCCTGTCTACGTGCGTTACGTTCATCAGTAAATATCGCGAGAACATACGTTCCCGTTTTTCAGTTCGTCTTCTTCTTCTTCTTATGATGTTTAATGGCGGTTGGCAAACCAGCTTTTGGTGCATATTCCGCCACCTACTGGGATGGAGTGTGAGGCGCTGATATCAAGGGAAATGCTAATTCTCAAAACAAACAAAAAAAAAACCTTCTACCTATATTTTATTATATAAATTTGTTATTTTCAAAAAATGTATAAGAGCTTTATAACCTTTATGAGAACTGTTTAACACACTCTGTAATGTCATAGAATTAATGCCGTCAGATTTTAATTCCTCTTTTTTTTCAGTTCGTCTTTGATTGATGACAACTTTTAAGATGATTACATTATTCAAAGGTGCACGCAGCTCACAGTTGCTGATTTGGAAATCTTTTGTTTTACAACAGATTTTATTTTTGTAACAGATTTTAATTTTGGATCATTTTGACACATAAATGAGAAGTCCTGTACATCGATTGAGCTTTGATGTTGTTTAACCTTGTGATCAAAGTTAATTGTATTATTTTTTTAAACTAAAATTTAACTCAGCTATATTTCTAATTCAGGTCTGCCAACGTTTGTGTTTAACTTGGAGTGAGAATTAACACGGCGGCTACTTGGCTTGGGTGGGAGTTTTGGTTGGGATTGAGTTTATAAATAAATAAATAAATAAACTGTTAGCAGAGTTTTGTCTGACGTTTGCACATGCGTAGTAGTTAACGTCATGATGACTGGTTCTGTTTTATCATAAAATTATATAAAAAAATTTTGATACAAAAATTAAAATACTTTTCTATTAATCGAAAAGTATAATTATTGCATATCTGTTTTGATAAATTAAATTTTTCTGCTATTCAATGCTACGGTTATCACTGTCGTAAATTTTCGCAATTTCGAAAGTGAATCCCACTTTTATGAGTGATGAGGGATTTATATGTCACTCCCAAAACTTTGCTGCGTGTACAGGGTATGTGGCCGTTGGTCCTCTTAGCAACACGAAAAACAAAACTTTTATGCAAGTTCTGAATGGAATATATGTAGCCTAGAATGAGACTGAGAATGCGCGAGTTGGCAGACCAGGCTAATTATTAGCAGAGATTGATTCGAATGCTGTATACACAATATGGGTACTACTTTAACTAAAGTAATTAATGCTTATCTTATGCATTTCGTTTGGAATTTTATAGGAAATAATAACAACAAATGAACAAAGTATTTTTTTATTGACCGAAATGAACAGTAGATGGCTGCAGTGAGCCACATATCCTCCCTGCTCACTACAGACCAGTGGCTCTAAACATGAAATTAAGTTATATTAAAATAATCCTACTACAACAAATACTAAAAAAAGAAAAGAAAAAGAAAACTCTGAACGATTAAGATTAGATACTTAGATATTTAATTGTTGACTTGAACACAGTTTTAAACCCCTAAACTAGCTGTTCCCAACAATATTTACATCAACCTATGCACATATTTATATGACAGTCAACAATAACACCTTTATTGTTACCGGAAAAACATTTCAAATAAATGAACTGTTACTCTGGCTGTAATTATGCAGGAAATATTAAACATGAATACATGCTTCTATGTTTTGGGTTGTGATATTGCACCTTTCAATATTTTCCTTTCCAATAGTTCCTGAAAAATAAACACTAGAATATTATATGAAGTTTTGGCCATCAAATATCAGTCTTTACCAGACCAGGTTTGTAGCTTCACGTGAGGCAGAAATTATATATATATATGTTTCCTGAAGTGTGTTCATTTTAAAACTCTACTAATTTTTCCACTGTCCAGTAGATAGGAAAATAAACAAGTCCGGCGTAACTAAAGCGCTTGTCCAGTTTTGATTCTGAATAGATGACGTTAGGAACGGGATGCCCCGCCCCTGTTATCGAAATGTCCAATAGTGTTCTTAGTTTTTAAGTCTGACTCTCATTGCAATTATTTTGATTGGATGTGGAATGTAGAGTGGGCGGAGTGCGAGATACGACCTTATATATGCGTTGTGCCATCAACTTTCGTTTACAATTGACAAACACAGAGTAGCAACCTATTAAACGGTGGGTTGGAGCAACGGCGTGAACGCTGGCGGATCACGGCTAGTAACGGGGTAAGATGAATCCCTTTCCACTACCTATTAAATGATTCCTGGAACTCTTTTTAAGAAAAAAAAAACGGTCTTTCTGACTGAAACCGCATGCAGTCCAGAGATGGCTTATTACTCGGCCATCTTGATTAAAAATAGCTATTGACAGTTTGTAAACTAAGATTAAACAGATTTTTAACTGCTTCCATAAGATTTCTCAGTTTATATATTTCTCGATTTTAATAGCAAGTTAATTCATTTGTTTGTTTTGTTAAATTTCCTGACTTTGTTGACTACTACAATGTGAAAAATACCAAGTCTGTAAGTTACATGAGTTTTCCTCTTTTCTTAGTCTCTTTGAGACTTTAGATTATCTTGCTGGAAGAGCATCTGTTCAGGGTCATACTGATGATATTTCTGTCTCTGTGTAAGCAGGAGTCATCTGTTGCACGACCACCTTGAGGTGATCAGATCAGAGGTGATCAGTATTTGATTGAAAGGAGCCACTGAACTGTGATTAAGGCACCAAGCTGCACATCATTATCTGACCATTTGAAAACATGGTGCAAAACAAAATCACGGAGGTCACAGGATTCCATCGCTCCTTCAAGGTTGGTAACTACTTCTGATTTACCAGAAAGTGTTTTATGCCCTGAGTGAGTGTGAAATGGTAGACTTTAATTTGTGACACTTGTTTCCTATTCCCAGGGGCAAAATCCTTTCAAGACTGATGAATTCATAGATTCGGAACCCCATCTTGACTTGTCCTTCAAGTTAGACCGCTCGCCAAGGCCTGGTACTGCTATTTTGCCTACTTTTTCATTAATATTGTCTGTTATTATCAGTCTTTGAGGTTGAAGTAAACCCTGATGAAATACTTATTGAGGAGATATTGCTTATCTCTCAAGCTTTATGCAAAGTTCATAGCAGATTAGAGTGATGGACTTGGCACACATTGTGCACTTTAACTCTGTTTTCTTTTTTTTTTTTTTTTTAAAGACATGCCATCTAGCCGGCCCATCGATATCCCTGATGCCAAGAAGAGAAATAAGAAGAAAAAAAGATGCAGAGCCACTGACAGTTTCTCCGGACGTTTTGAAGGCAAGCCCTTTTTGTTTGTCTTTTGTAAATGCTCAAGCCTGGAGTATAGCTTCACTGTCTAAGGAGGGTAAATATTCATTTTATTTATATATATTTTTTCATTTATAGATGTTTACAAACTACAAAATGAGATTCTTGGAGAAGGGGCTTATGCTGTTGTTCACACCTGCATCAATCTGATCACCAATAAAGAATATGCAGTAAAGGCAAGTATCAGCACCCTCTTTTAGTTAAAGCAGCATATTGCTAAACAAACTGTTGTCAGTGCTCCTACAGCTATCAAATAATCAGTGTCTTATCTATGTTCAGGTTAAACTCCAGTAGTTGCAATGGCAAAATACCATTTTAGGCCGTACCCTCCTTGCATGATTATTGCTCTGATTTTGCTGTCACAGAATCTCAGACCGTAGCCAAATTGGAGCTTGCTGTAATTGGGTGTTAATTATAAGCAGTTAGCAATGTGATTTGAGCTGATCTTGTGACGTCTTTCATGACACTGTTTTCAAGCAAGTTTCATATCATCACAGCATAGTTTTGTAGAATGAGTGATACATAGTGTGCTTCAACCATTGAGAAAATAAAAGGCTTAAAGATTATTGTAAGCCATATTCTTTAAAAAAAAAAAAAATTGCTTCATTGTAATCTTATTACAAGAAAAAGACGAAAAAAAGTGCAGAAACATTTGAACCCAAGTAAAAAAAAAACATTTAATAATATATATATTATGTTAAAATAATCTGATGTATAGAGACTATTGAGTATATTATAAAATGCACTTAAATGTAATACAATATGTATTGTAATAGTATTATAATATTCTTATTATCTCTTGAGTTGCCCCTTAATGGAAAAAATATAGTAGCTATTTCTGCTGCAACAGTATATGTGACTGATTAATAGAAATAATATCATGCAATCTGAACAGTGGAGGGGGAACAGACTTTAAAGAGTGGATTCTACCGCAAATCTGTAAATCTAACTTTTGCAGCTGGACATTGTTAGTATGTTCTCTTAAATTATGTTAGAGCATCAATGATGTTTATTAGTGAACACTCCAAGCGTTTGACACTAGGAATATGAATTGAGGGAAGCAAACTTTGGCTTTTAGTTAATTGTCATGCCTTCAGTGTAGAGTGTTACATAAGAATAAAAGGGGGTTTATGCTGGGACAGATGTGGGATAGCTCTGTATCAGGGTTTCAGCCCTCATCAGGAAATACCGGACACTAGCTTTGATTCATGGTCGTTTGAGCTGTTCTTATAAGTGGTTTTATTTGTTATGTGGTGTTGTTACATGTACTTCTCTCTGGAACAATGGCCTTCCAGCTACTGTGCTGCTGCTGCAGCTGTGGAACCAAAATATAAATGACCACAGTGCCTGCTCAGCAGAGAAACTTCCTCTTTTCAATTGTTGACATTGTGAAGCAGGACATGTAATCTTTGAAAAAGCAGTGCTCTCACTACATCTATTTAACCTCTAGAAGATGGAATGGTAATATATAAAGGAAGCCGTGGGTACTAAATGAAGCGTGTGCAGGATGTTCATGTGGCATTTCATAGCAAATGTTCTGTAACTTGCCAAAGGGAACGCAAAATTGAAAACAGCAGGTTCTCCACATGGCTGATGTCATGGAATATTGTCAGATTCCAAGAGTCTTATGAACCGGTGCTCTTCTGGAAGCTAGAGAAAGTTTAAGTTTATTGTTTAATTGTTTTGTCATTTGCATCCCATTTGCTGTGAAATGTGTACTTGGGGTAAAATGTTTGGCTAATGCTTAACCTTTTGGAATACTGTGGCATAAATGCTCATCTGCACGTTAAAATGAATGGACACTGTACAAATTACATGGAATAATAGTCTAATGCCAAGGTAAATGGATTTTATTTGGACAGATGGCAGATAAACCAGCACATAGATTGAATTAAGGGAGGCAACACATTTTGTTAGCCCGAGCCCTTTAGAAATGGACAACTGTTCAAAAGTTTGGGGACGGTAAGAATTAGTTTGTTTTGAAAAATTAGTACTTTTCAGCAAGGTTGCAATTAAATTGATTAAAAGGTAAAGACATTTGTGTTGTTACAAAAGTTTTATATTAAACATAGTGTTTCCTCTAGGATTTTTTCCAGCTGTGGTGGCAGGACTGTTTCCCATGGACCACGCCCCCTTCCTCCTGGTGCTTATACCTCCCCACCCACGAATCGCGTGCACTCAAACTCAGAATTACATTTATTTGAACTAATAAAGACAATAAGAACAATTTAAATAAATGCCAAGCAATAGCACAGACAAAAAACAAAGTACTGTTAATTTAATTTGTAACACTCAAGTTCTTCAGGTAGGTCTAACAGTAATATTTCAGTACAGAATTACTACAGAAACTGAATCTATTCAACTGTAAAGTAACACTGGATAGTCTTCACTGTATAAATAATGCTGGGTACACACTAAAAGATTTTAAAAATCTTATAAGAAATCAAAATCAGCCCGATTATCTTGTGGTGTGTACCCAGCATAAACAGTAATGACACAGACAACAGCAGGTTTATTTAGGCTGCTGTCTTTTTAAGAGCTTGTGCACGGATCTAATACTGTTACACGTGTGATTTGCTTCTCAACGGTTTAAATTCACTTAATACCCTATAGACCGACTGTTTACGTGAATACAGCCGTGGCCAAATGTTTTGAGAATGACACAAATATAAATTTTCACAAAGTCTGCTGCTACAGTATTTTTAGATCTTTTTGTCAGATGTTACTATGGTATACTGAAGTATAATTACAAGAATTTCATAAGTGTCAAAGGCTTTTATTGACAATTACAATAAGTTTATGCAAAGAAAGTATTTGCAGTGTTGACCCTCCTTTTTCAAGACCTCTTCAATTCGCCCTGGCATGCTGTCAATCAACTTCTGGGCCACATCCTGACTGATGGCAGCCCATTCTTGCAGCATCAATGCTTGGAGTTTGTCAGAATTTGTGGGTTTTTGTTTGTCCACCCGCCTCTTGAGGGTTGACCACAAGATCTCAATGGGATTAAGGTCTGGGGAGTTTCCTGGCCATTCACCCAAAATTTCGATGTTTTGTTCCCCGAGCCACTTAGTTATCACTTTTGCCTTATGGCAAGGTGCTCCAGCATGCTGGAAAAGGCATTGTTCCTTACCAAACTGTTCTTGGATGGTTGGGAGAAGTTGCTCTCGGAGGATGTTTTTGTACCATTCTTTATTCATGGCTGTGTTTTTAGGCAAAATTGTGAGTGAGCCTACTCCCTTGGCTGAGAAGCAACCCCACACATGAATGGTCTCCGGATGCTTTACTGTTGGCATGACACAGGACTGATGGTAGCGCTCACCTTTTTTTCTCCGGGCAAGCTTTATTCCGGATGCCCCAAACAATCAGAAAGGGGATTCATCAGAGAAAAAGACTTTACCCCAGTCCTCAGCAGTCCAATCCCTGTACCTTTGGGAGAATATCAGTCTGTCCCTGATGTTTTTCCTGGAGAGAAGTGGGTTCTTTGCTGCCCTTCTTGACCCCAGGCCATCCTCCAAAAGTCTTCGCCTCACTGTGCGTGCAGATGCACTCACACCTGCCTGCTGCCATTCCTGAGCAAGCTCTGCACTGGTGGTGCCC